ATTTCTATTCTCAACATCAACAGCCAGTCTATGTACGCGAACCACAATTTCTTAGATTGGTAAGTGGCGGAAAAAACGACAACACTGAATACGAGGGTTTAAGTCTTCGAGACCAGAAGCTAATAAAATTATTATTTTTTAAATAAATTAAATTGATGTAAAAGGGAAACTTATAAAATTGTTTTAAAAAAATAATTTTAAAGTTAATGAAAATTAGTTTGCAGATACTATGAATGTAACAAAAATTAATAACAATAATGAATACTTTCTTCAAAAGTGTCTAACCTTACAAGAATTTAAATTTGATTATTAAAATTTGGTGGAGTTATTGTTACACTTGACATTTCAATATTATCAATGTATCAATCAAGTAAATTTTCATCAAAGCTCAATTAATTAGCGGTGCCTAATCCTAGCATCACACTTCACGCATTCAATTTCCTGCATATGTATAAAGTGCCATGCCTGTTACTTTTAGTTTTCAAGTATTTCATAAAATTATGTCATTATTTGATAGCTGTTTTGGAAAAAGTATAAATATAATTATAAAATTATATTAAATATTAATTAAAATTAATTTTTCATAATAAATTACATTTTTAATAAAGTGTTCTGTGAAAAAATACTCTAAAACCAGAACCTCAAACACAATATTAAACTTTTATTTCTTGTTGTCAAACAGCTCCTCCTTCGTCTAAATGGATTCTCTTGTTGCCATCCAAATTGTGGCTAGTCACCTTTTGCCAGATATTTTGAATAAAGCCGAAACAAATGGCGAATTCTGCGTGGTGTGGTTGATTTCTTCCAAGCATTGCCTTTCAAAAAACTAAGATTCCGAACCTGAATTGTGTTCAACAAAAGAGAAAAAAAAAGTCAAGACGAAGGCCTTTTGTTTCATCTTATTTTTCTACATTCTATCTTCAATTGAAGCCATAGGCATCGCATGTGATCTGAAGACATTTACATCCACAGCTAACATATGGTTTGGATATCAATTAAGATTAGACATAAAACCACATCCACACAAGTACTTTTTCATGATAAGTTTAAAATCAAAACTCATTTTCAATATTGTCTATGGTTTCTTGAGTGATTACAACTAATGGGGCCATGCCAGAGAAGACAGCTCAAAGCCTTCGTACGTGCATGTTTTCATTGAAGAAACCAACGATTTAATCTTATTTTAAGTTAATTATATTCATATAAAAATAAATATCAAATAACGAAATTTCAAACAACGACTTAAATAATTTAATGGTAATCTTTTTTTTTTGAAAGTAAGAGGTCTTAAATTTAAGGACAATTATACATGCACCCAAAAAATAACACCCATCTCAACATCCAAGGCTAAAATGAGGAGGGGTAAATTTGTAATTTTACTGTTCATAAACCTTAGGTGTTGAGATATGTGTTGATTTTTTGAATATATGTATAATTGTCCTAAATTTAAATAATATGGCATGCCAGTGGCTGAGATAAAAGAATAAGGGATGAGAGAATATTATCTCTCGTTGTGCAACCAATATAAAAATAAAGTTAAAACCCTTTTTTGGTCCCTAAACTATTGTACGGACCCCTGATTTGGTCCCTGAACTAAAAAAATTCCTAATTTAGTCCCTACTGTTTACCATTTTTACCCCAATTTGATCCTTCCGTCAAATATCAACCTACGTGTCTCGTTACTTGACGGGAAAACGATGACATGTACAAGCATTTTAACACCTAGGATTTACAGATTGCCAAAAAAAATGAGATGGCAAGAAAAAAATCTTAAAAAATTTCTTATTCCTTTTTTTTTTTCTTTGTTTGTTTTTCCTTTTTCCCTTTCTTCTTCCTCTCCCTTTCCTTTAACCTTCTGCAAACCCTAACTCTTAATATTAAATTCGAGAATAACACAACAAATCAACAGATTAAACTCAATAGATACTTGACCCAACGGCTACTGGTTCGAAACAAAACCCAGAGCCTCACTTGCAAGAACCCAGCAGCTGCTCAAACCTAGCACCTGCTGGGTTTGAAATGAAACCCACCGCCTGCTGGGTTCAATTTCGAACCCAGCACCTACAAAAACCTAGCGGCTGGTAGGTTCGAATTGAAAAATCGAACCTAGCACCTGCACAGGAACCCAACAACTACCTTACCTTGCCTTCCTCATCTTCATCAACCAATTTTTCATCACAATCAAACAACAATATCCAAAAAACAACTTCATCACAATCAACCAATTTTTTTAATTTTTTGCACCTGGGTTCGCAAGGAACCAAACCCAAGCGTGCTGGGTTCCACCAAACCCAGGCATGCTGGGTTCTGTGCGAGCCCAAGCAAGCGTCCTTGCGAACCCAGCACGCTTGGGTTCCTTGCGAACCCAGGCACTGGGTTCGTAAGGAACGCAAACCCAAGCAAGCGTCCTTGCGAACCCAAGCAAGCGTCCTTGCGAACCCAGGCGCTGGGTTCGCAAGGAACGTGAACCCAGGCGTTGGGTTCGCAGTTCGCAAGGAACGCGAACCCAAGCAAGCGTCCTTGCGAACCCAGCGCCTGGGTTCGCAA